GGAGCAATATTGTGGTTGAAGTACTCTGTTGCTCAATCAGGAAAAGAGAAAGCTTTCAGAGAATTGTTAGCATTATTATCTGGCAATCATTTTCTAAACAGTGAACTTTACTGATGTCTGTGTTTTTCCTCCTGTCTTTCCCGGCAAATATATTTGGTAGTACTGCAGTCCCAAACTGATCAATACAGGGTTGAACATAGAAGAATGGATACGTGTATAAATTTTATGTATGTATATATAAATACATGTGTGTGTGTATATATGTGTGGTTTCTCTAAGCTCATACAATTAAAAATAAAACCATAAATGTGTCATTTTTTAGGGCTGTCAATATTGAGGTAAGAAGTAGGAAAGATTATTGGTGCTTTCCTGAAACAGAACAAAGTGTCACTTTCTAATGAGATTCAGCTATTATTGTATGCCTCCTAAAGAAACTACCTCTTCGTATGATTTTTTTGATTAATAGTTTGTTTCAGCCTGCAGTACTGGGGATACATCACTGATAAAACCCAAATGAAGCTACTCAACCACTCTTCATCCTCATCATTATTTTCTCTTCATGATGATATGCAATGTCTTCAGCATTAAAAACATTAAAAAAAAAAGGAAATAGAATAATGGAGCTCATCTGCTAACATATACCTTTTAAATTTAGAACTAAATGTCTGTGTAGAGAGGTTGTTGTGTGACTGTGTCCCAGAATAGTGTGTAGGCTGGAGGTTAGACTGTTGTATTGTTGTGTCTTGAAGTACTTGTTGTGGATGATACAAGAATTTCAATTTGCTCTAACCACTGCAATGATCTACCATCACCTCTACTTAACCTTTCTATCTTAATTCCTTTTCAGACAAATGACCAAATGTGAGAGGCTTTAATCCAAAGTTAACGATGTTCTGATGACATAGACATTTGTTTTTTTTTTTTTTTACTGCAGTGGACTTGCTCATCAGTTTTTAGTGAAATCTGGGTGTGGAGGAGGACTATACAGCTGAAAGTTAATACAGAATAAGACAAACATATGGGGTTAAGAGAAAGAGCTAGGATTATTACCAGAAGCTAGTTGTCTCAGGTTGCTTCTGCAGAGTTGCTAAGACTGCATCTGGAAATGACAAACAAAACATGATTCTATGATTCTATGAAACACATACTGAATGTCTAATTTTCCCTTGTTAATTGTTTATCTTAAAACTCTGAATCTGGATTGCGATGTCATGATTCATGTCTTTGTTCATGAGTCTGGGATTTCTGCACTTCACTGTACGTAAATTTAGCAGTTTGGAATAAACTAGAGATTGTTGTTAAGGCAGAGTGGATTGTCCCACTGTCAGAACATATTCCAGACAAAGAGGACATTGCTTTTTTGTTCTGTTATTTGCAGCCAGCTATCATGTGGTCTGTAGGTGAAGTTTAAATAATTATTTTGACAGATAAAACCCAAAATATTCATTAGTTTTGGATGTTACACAGGCCACTGCTTTCTTTTTATGTTATACAGTGGTCATTCTCCTGAGCTGCTTGAACAAAGAGATATTGGTAACAATGAGTTATTCTCAAATTCACTGGCTTAAGGGACACACTGCTAGACTTGCCTGTTTTCCATTTTTCTTCATGCAACAAGGAAAAGTGACTGAGCGGCGAAGAATTCAATCTGCATTTAACAAGTGGGTTTATTTTCTGGAGATGTTTTTCCTAGTGCATTCCTGATGTGCTGCTAACTGCTACTTGTGCATTAATATTTGTAATGTGCTTGAGAGCTTCATAGTGATTCTGTTTCTACTTGCATTGCTGTCCCTAATTCATGCCTAACCAAAAATGTTTATACAAGGTTGAGGAGATACTTTAAGATGTAAGCTTAACTTTTTGAGAGACTAATTTAGAAAATCACTAAGGAATGGTGTCTGTCCTGTGAAACATCAGATAAGGATCTGGCTGGTAAATGTAGGGATGTTTGTTACCAATTCATGTTAATGACATTTATATCCTCTGAATGCCATCATTGGGAGAAAAAAATATGTTCACTGTGTGTAAGAAATCTCATCTGTTACCACACAATATCATTTGAAAGAAATGTGCCTGAATACAACCTTTTATGTAAGGAGAATGAAAAAATACAGTGTAATTTAGGAAAGGTCCAAGCTGGTAAATCAACAGTTTCTATTTCCTTCTGTTTTGAATGACTAGCATTTAAAAAAAAATACTGCTTGTTACGTCACCCAGATATCAGCGTCAGAGAAAGACTAAACCATTATGGCTTACAATATTTGGGGCTTTTTAAAATTCTTTCATTGTTTAATTTGTTCTATATCTGCTGCAAAATTTTATAGACAGAAATTGCCTCTATCTGCATGGCTTTGTGATTTCCTTAATCAATGAAATCCCATTGTTGCAATGAACATCTTTCAGGAACGCATCAATCTCCATCACTTCAGAGCTAGTCTCTTTTACCTCCTGTTCAATCACTGTGGCTGTTGAACAAAACATTCTGCCCACCTCTTGAGCAAAACATTCTGCCCACCTCTTGAAGATTCTGGGTCTAGAAGTGCCAATGTTATTGGCCAGTTTGAGCCTGCCGCTCCCTCTCTTTTCAGTCCTTTGCCATTTTGGTGAATTGCAATCAGAACGTTAGCATAAAGATTATTTTAAAACTATTCTGGCTTCAAATAAAACAGATATTCCTGATTTATAATAACTATCTATAAAGAATTCCTTGAAGTCTTTCTGATAAATTATGTTCTTCAGTTAAATATGTTGTTACAGGCAGAAAGAAAACCACTCATAGAGCAATTACTCATCTCAGATTTAGAGTGAACTTTATTCAAGATCATTACAATTTTTTGCATCAGGAAGGCAAGTTAAGGGAGAGGTCAGTAACTACATTAAAATACATGCATACTAATCAAGTGAAAATGCTTACATGTGGAATTTCAAAGAACTTTTGAAAGTAAGGTGTTTAACCAGAACAGAACTTTTAAGAACTTAAAATTTTGTTTCAATTTAGTCTTTAAAAAATGCTGAGTTCATCACATACATCATGCATTGCTATTTCTGTTACTTAAGTTTTACATTAAAATACTACAATATGAGCCTAAATGAATTAAAAATTAAATCAATTAACAGAAAACATTTTTTGCAAGTATTTTAAATTCATAGTATCTTGTAATAATAAAGGTGTGTTGTTTTTTCTTGACTGTGCTCTGATTGAATATAAGAGGTGGTCAATGCTTGAATGAGTGTGCATTGAAGCCTGCTAGGGAGTATCATCAGAAAGTGCTGTGAATACTCTATATATTTAAATTATATGAGCATCTAAAATGATTAACTCCTCCCGGGAGAAGTATTCTCAGCCTGATAAAGGACATGAAAAACAAGACTGAACTGGAATATGCAACTCTTTGGGTAAAATTAATGCTGAATAAAATATTAATGTAAGTGATTCCATGAGTTGAAAATTCAAGTGATATATAGGAAATCAAATTACGGTCTTTATTCATGTTCACTGTTCCGCACTGCTTTGTGAAAATAGGGTTTCATGCTTGGTAAACTGTAAAGTGAAACTATTTGATACTGTGAAATTCAAAATTATGTTTCTTGAATTTTCCTTTCATTACATTGAAATATAAATATGTCACACACACACACACACACACACACACACAGGCACACGCACGCACACACTCACACACACCCGAACCACTTTTAAAATGTTTGCAATACTTTTTTTGGCTTCATGTGAAAAAAACCTTAAGAAGTATGAAACTTTTTTCTTTTTTTTTTTAACTTTTGGAATTGAAATTGAACTGCAAACACCTTTAATCATGCAGCAGTGCAGGCAAGCTTTTCATCCAGACTGATCTCAGCTTTGCTTTTAGGGCAATCGAGTCTTTGTGTATTGCCACTTGACTAGAGATGAGCGTAAACGTACTGATCAGTGGTGAAGATGACCAACTTTTTAGGAATAAAAGCTGCAACACAGGGTTCTTCCAATTATATATCTAGGAAGCTTTACTTGGATTATGATAGACAGAACCCAAACATCTTTCCTATATACAAGAAGCAAATAAAAATAATTTTTAAATAACATGAAAACACTCTACTAAGGTTGCATAGTTAAATAAACAAAAGTGAAGAATGAAAAGGAAGAGGTAAAATATATAGAAAAGAAAGAAGTTATATGGTGCACGTCTACATTAACCTGTCAGGACTACGATAAGATAACACTTCTTAGAGATAATTTGTCACAAGAATGCTGTGTTTTTCCATGTTATCAATTAAAATTAGTTTGCATTTTACTATTTGTTAATTACTGAAATAAAAGTAATGAGAGATCAAGTAGCCAGAGCCATTAGTACCACAAGACCTGAGTTCAGGTTTTATGACCCCTGGTTTTAATTTCTTAATTTCTAAAAGCTTTGCTTTCTCATAGTGCTAAGTAATGCATGATCAGAATCCACTCAATAAAATGTGCTTATAGGAAAATTGAAGTGAAAACATGGTATTGCATTAAGCAGCTTTGGATGAAGAAAATCTTACAACTTTTTTTAAACTTCCCCAATTCCCTAAATACCTAAATTAGTGATAGATATAAATATAACAGGGAGAAGTTCTTTTTTTTTTTTTCCCCAAAGTGAGTGAAAGAAATGACTGTATGATGGGGAATTCAGGTTTTAATGCATCATCTGTTTGTGAGGTATCCTCTTCATTGGTAGTGGAATATTCTACTTTTAATGTTGTAGAGTGTATTTTTAATGATAAAAGGTTTGTTGATTATTATGGTGTTTATAAGCAGGTGATTTTTCAGCACCTGCTTTCAGTAGTGATTTGCAGTGAGAATGATTACTGTAGATTCACTTCAGGGTGGAACATCCTGATTGATGCTCTATCAAGGAGAACATAGAATCTCCTAATGGATTTAATAGTGTCTATTTTTTTGTGGAATTTCTTTTCATTTTCTTAAAACAACAGGAACATTACTGATTGTATAACCTTATACCCTGTCTCAGGTCTCCTAGAAACCCTGAACAGAAGATCATTAAACGAGTGATTGCTCTTGAAGGAGACATTATCAAGTAAGTATTTTAAGCTTTAGTCTCTGAGTCTTTATAGGAATAGTGGAGCTTTTCAGTGGATTTTAAATCAGTATCCTAGACAACGAGAACTTTCTAGTATTTTCTTTCTATCTATTTTTAACAGGGATGTCAGCATTGTACCTGTCTCCTTTTTAATGAGAGGAGAAGTGCTGCGCAAAACTGCTCACTCTCTCACAAAAGGTACATGGGTGCAAATAATGCGTGTTTCTTAGAATATCTGTGCCACATATCAAGGCAGGTAATTGTACAGCATTTTTTTTCAGTAAGATTAAAGAGCTGTGATCTTTCGTTTAGAGTCCATCTGCTGTTTCATACTGTGATTGGGAAACACTAGCAGGGTGGGTTTTTAGGAATTATTTTCCTCTTCTTTTTTTTTTTCTTTTTTGTTTTTTTTGAGGCAAAGAACCCTCACAGTTGACTGTCTTCGCTGCAGTGTGGGAATCTGTAGGGAATGTGGTGGAACTGGTTTGGAATAAATTATTTTATCAGGAAAAAATATCATAGCCAGAGTAGACTCTAGTTTACCTCAAGACTTGATTTACTTTGATGGATAGACCTTCCTGCTGGGGCTGGGTGGAAATAAAATACTAGTAGATGTAAATCAGGTTTTGTGGGAAGAATATTATTTATTGAGAATTCTTGTTTGAAAATGTTTTTTTCTCCCAGGTACAGAATAGAACTGGCACAGAGCTGGGAGGTAAATCCCTAGTTTCTCACACTAAGATATGAATGACCCTGGGAGCTCTCAGAAAATATGGCAGACTGAGGCTCAATTCATTTAGATAATGATTCTTGCTCTGATGTAGTGAATACTTAAGAAGTACTTGGCAGCTGCAAATTCAGATCAAGGACTTGCATGTGTTCTTAATGAACCCCAGTTAATAGCAGCACTAGTGGGCATTGGGGCTCTATGGACTATACCTGTGTATATTTTTTTTCCCCCTTGCAGTTGGTATAATTTCTGTTTTATCGAAAAATACTGAATCATCTCAGTTTGAGAAATGCAAATAAATTCTGGCATCTCTGTTGAAGCAAAATATCTGAAATAACAAACACTAAGAAGATAATAATTTGATGTTCAAAAATTATGAACATCTACAGTTAAAACTAGCTATCACTTCAAAGAACTAAAAATGGAGGAGTAGTGTATGCTACTGAGTGATGCCTTTTATCGACCTATGTCCTTAAGGGGATACTTATTCCTTGATGTATTTGATATTAGTGCTGTAATCCATATAAGCGGTAAGTATTCATATTTCAGTATTCCTCATTCATTTCTGTAGCAATGTCAGAAAGAAAGAACAATATAAGGCAACTTTGAATGTTACTTCTCACTGTTCTATATTAACATATTTGAATTTTTGAAACGGAGTGTAGTTTTTGATAATGCAAAAAGCATTTAATAACTTAAAATCCAGCTGTAGGAAATCAACTATGCTGTACATTGAAATGCTTAAGACTCTGGACTTTTCAATAGATAAGTTCAATAGAAATAGTTTCAATAGAAAAGTTCACCTTCTGTGGGTGTTCCTGGCTAAATGGACAAAGGTATGGGGTATAATAACTGTGAGATTGTGTGCAGAATGCTGATGAGCCTGTAGGTTGGTGAATCAGTCATGCACACAGGAGACTATGATAATTCTCATTTGTCTTTGGTAAAATATGTTGGATTAATTTACTAATAGAAATATTAATCTCAGTAATTCAGATGTGCTTTTTTTTTTCTATTTGAATGCATGATAATTATCCCACAGCTTTCTGCTTTAACTGTAAAAAGTAGTTTTTAGCAAAAGATAAATTATTGATCTACTTTAGCTTGTTAAGTTTTTATTACATATTATTATCCCTTAATTGTGTATGTGTAGAAAACGTAAGCAATACTTGTCACTTTCCATAGCACTAGGGTAAAGCAAAAGCTTAACTAATAAAGTATAACAGAAAAGCTTGCAAGATTTTTCTAAAATATGTATTATTTTTGTAAAGACACTGCAAGTAGGTATGAACTAGGATATTTGTGACTGAAATGGACAACTGGTAACTGAAAGCATGTATAGAAAATATAAATAGAAGCTTTTGACTCCTACTTGATGTCTGAAGACACTCTTTATTACAAACCAAAAAGAATTGGGTTTGATATCTTGAGATTTTATGTCTATATATTTTTATATGTTGAATTATACCTGATCAGGATAAAATGATGCTCTGAATGTAACTGAAAGTAACATGGATCACATATGAAAAAGCATCTGGAAGTATGGCATTTTTCCCTATTGTTGTTTCTTTTTTGGTATGGGTGAAATGTGATGAATAACTAATGTATACTGACCTTAGAGGAAAATCTGAACATCTTCATTCCTAATCTCAAGTCTTTGTAATGGAGTATATATGCCTGTATAATAAAAACCCCACTTCCTTAGGCCTTTCACTGCTCTGTTGATCAATCAGAATTCCTTCTTACTGAGAACATATCCAAGTTCACTAGAGAAGAGGTGTTTCAGTTCCAGGGTACAGAAAAACGGGAATCATCACTTAGATGCGGTGGGGTTCCAGCACTTATGGGGCTGTTTTGGGTACATTGGTTTTGCAGAGAGGCGGTGGTTATACAGAGAGGTGTTGTATTGGACATTTTATTGGAAAGGTGAGTGTGATGTACAAAGTCTGTTGCTCTGCAAATTTTGTTTGGTGTCATGTAACAGAATCAATACACTTTCCAATGGTGAGTCTTAGAGTCTTCTCTTGTGAAGTAAGATTTGTGAATAATTGTGAGTTGGAAGGTATTTTTGTTTAGTGCTCCATAAGACAGGTGACAGACAATATAGTCTATGAGTCTGCAGTTATGGTTTTGTAGATGAATGAATTATTTTCATTCAGTCTATTTGGGTGCATGATTAATGATAGTTTGTCACAAGAATGTTGTGTTTTCTCATGTTATCAATAAAAATAAGTTAGTTTGCAGTTTACTATTTGTTAATTACTAAAAGTAATTGTCATGGTTTAAACCCTAGCCAGACAGCTTGTTCACTCACTCCCAGTGAGTGGTGCCGGGCTGAGAGCAATTGAGGGCCCCCTCCCCCCACCCCGGGGCTCTCGCCTTCCCTGCTCACGGAGGAACGGGGAGGAGGATCAAAAGAGTGCAACTCCTACGGGTTGAGACAAGAACAGTCCAGCAACCAACGTACAACACAAATCACCACCGCTACCACCAATGACAACAATGATAAGGGAAAATAACAAGGGAAGAGAATACGATACCACCGGCCAAGAAATGAGTCCCACCTGGAAGCCCCGTGTCCTTCCGGGTAAAACTCCCAGTTACCCCCCACCCCGGGCATGACGTGCTGTGGTATGGAATACCTCTTTGGCTAGCCTGGGTCAGGTGCCCCGTCTCTGCTTCCTCCCGGCTTCCCCTCCTCCCTGGCAGAGCATGAGCCTCACAAAGTCCTTGGTCAGGGTAAACATCACTTAGCAACAACCAAAAACATTGGTATCACCAGCACTGTTCCCAGGCTGGAAGTCAAAACACAGCACTGCACCAGCTACCACAAAGGAGAAAAATGACTGCTACTGCTGAACCCAGGACAGTAATGAAAGATCAAATAGGACTTGAGTTCAGATTTTATGACTCCATGGCAGAAAAATCCTGTTTTTCAGTTCTTAATATCCAAAAACTTTAAATAAGGTGAAAATTGTGAAATTTTGTAAACAGTAATGACTGACTTCTAGTTTTTCAAGAGGAATATATGAGATCAATAATAGTCCATTTTTATTGTTCATTTTGTATTTTTCAGATAGTCACACATTAGGGAATACATAGAACTTCTTCACCTTTTGAAATATGCTTTTAGGACTGAAAAATGCTACAAATACACTGGATAAAAAAAAATCTGGCATTTAAATTGGTTTTGGTATCCAGACTGGAAACAAATGGTTTTGTTTCCAGTCTAGATACTAGTCCAGGCAAAATGAGTTTGGTAGTGTCTTGTAAATCCCTGGAGGCATGTAGTAAAAACCTGTAGCAGATAATTTATTTTGAATGCATTAGTAAAATTTTCTCCTCAAAAGAATTTAAAGAATAAACAGAAAATCACTATTTAGCCCTTGAAAATAAATCTATAGGTCAGGTTGCAATGTAGACAATATTGCAAAATATATTTCCCATAGATCAGGTTTTGTTTTCTCTTCTCTGGATTCACAGGAGAATTAACTTTAAGTAGGAAATCATTACAATGGTTCCTGAAGACTGTTTAAATGATAATTCTTCCAAAGAGGCTTTATTTTTTAAAGTCAATATAATCTAATTTGTTAAAAATTAATGTTGGTATTATAACACACTTTGAATAACTTGAAATTAAACTTATTAAAGCTCATTTATCTTAAGTGCTCTAGTGGAAATTCAAAAATCTATAGTAATATATCACAGATGAGTTATGGTGTGCTTTCAGTAACACATACAAATGAAGGTTTATGTGAAGTAAACCAAAACTGGGATTAAACTAATAACATTGAAAATTAAGTCTGTTTGGTAAGTTGCTGAACTAATTTGTTTTCCTTCTGTCTGTCACGTCTGCACAGGTCTGTGGGAGCTTGGTGTGCCAATTCCATTTCTTTCATATAACTGTTTGCTTTTTAATACTGTACCTTGTCTAAGAATGATTTGTGAGCCTATAGAAAAACTGATTTTAAAAATTTTGTCCAGGGATATTATTAGGCTATTTAGGAGTAAATGTTCTAAGGACTGAATGTTTCAGCAGAGTGACATTGCATTTAAGTGTTGCATCTTGCAAAACTGCTTTGAAGAAATCAGTAAGGAAATATTCATTGTTTATCAAAGCACAGCAATGCAGAGATAAATCGTTACATTATTAGGCTGTAGGTCTAAACCAAGCCTCAGTAACTTTTCCACTTTTACTGCAAGTTCCATCATTAAATTGCAGAAACTATTGCCACAGAAAGTTAGAAATTATAAGAGATAATAAGGG